ATCGCAGTTGGGTTGTGGTGGTTGTGATGTTGGTGCAGTTACGAAGTGGTGGTGATGTTGGCGATCTAGTGAGTTGGTAGTAGTTGTGGTGCGGTTACAGTGAAGTCGCGTCCTGGTTGTGCGATGAAATTATTTTGGATCTGATTTTTTGATGGTCTTTGGATGATGGTGGTTGTGATGTTGACTGCAATGGTAAGGTGGCGGTAATGTGGCGATAAGGTGAGGTAGTTGTGACGTTGGTAATGGTGGTTGTGCGGTGGTCGTAGGTGGGGTGGGATGGGATGGAACGTGATGGGGGTGGGAGGGGAGTGTTTGTGATCAATTATTTGATTGATTGTGACTAATAAATTGGTTAGATTATGGTCAATAAATAATATGTGACCTAAAAATTGTAATTGTAACTCACAATTTATTAAGTTGTGACGAGAAATAACATATGACCAATTAATTTGATAATTTGTGTCGTTAAATAAATTGTGATTTATAAAATTTGTGACCTATAAAATTTTTTATTTGTCATCAATGAATGATTTGTGACTTATAATTTTTTTGATTTGTGATCGAGAAATAAGTTGTGACCAAATTTTATAGATTGTGATCTTAATATATTTAATTAGTAAAATATATTTTTCATTTATTATTTCATAAATAGAATTTAATTAATATTTAATTTTTGAAGTTTTAAACTTTGTTTCTTAATTTTGAAATATGTTATACTTCATCTTTTAGATATGAAATTTTTCTTTCTAATTTTATTTTCGTCATTGTCGGGCGAATCAGAATAGCCCCCCGTTTTTTTTCTATAAAAAAGTAGTAGGTCAAAATCAGGTCAGGCGTTTCTATTTCCTTATGGAAAAATTACCTAGAAACCTATATTTAAAGACTAAATTCAAAAACAATGGGGATTAATTTTTATTTCACAAGTCTGGTAGAAATTAGATCTTAATAATTATAATTAATAAAAAATTAATTAAATCTAATCTACGTACACACCACTTCCATTCGTTCTCAAATGGGCCAAATCCAAACCCAACATATTTTCCCACCCTCTCCCTTCTCTCTAACTTATCACTTTATCACCATTTCGACCACCCACGCAACCCAACCCAACCCAACCCAACCCAACCCAACCCCAATCGAACATCTCCCTTTCCGGCGCGACGAGGCCAAATTGTATTTGAATTCCATATAAATCGAGAAAAAAAAATGTTGTGATGGCGATGAACCCCTAAACCCATGTGGATTCACTATTCTGCAGTGCAAATTAATATCGAACTATTGATAAGCGCATGCATATAGATCATGTTCTTTTGTTGAATAGATTGATTTGTTCCATTGCCAGGAATAGTTCCAGAAATAAAGGTTTTGAAATTTATTCCGTGTCACATGTATTATCCAGTTCATCATTTCTTTGTTGTGCTGAATTAGCTTGTTACTTGCGAATTCTTGAAGAAGGGTGAAGCACTGAGAGGTATTGCGAAATCAAAAACATTATTGAAGGGATTGGTGGAAATGATAGTGCTGGTGATTGTTGTTGTGGATTTGAGGTGAACGTATTATTTGTGGTTGTGGATTTGAGTTGAAGGTGTTAGTGGTGGTGCATTGGGGGTGATGACTGGTAGCGAATTGTGGTGCTGGTTATGCGATGTGTCAGATTTGTTCATGGTGATCCTCCCTGACTAAGTATATATTTATTGTGACTGATTGTGATCAATTATGTGTTAATTGTGATTGTCACATTTAAGATTGATTTGGTCACGGACAATCACATTTAGAGCATGTCTGGGCAGCTTTTTAGCAGATTTTAAGCCAAAAATGAACCCTTTTTTTTCCACATAAGGGTCCCACATGTGAGACAAAGAGTCAACAATGGCTGCTATATTTCATTTCCAACGGTTGAAAAAGCAATTTTTTTGGCCAAAATTGTGCTCATAGACACACCCTTAGTCATACCGAAGACAAATTTGATCATATTTAATCACAGATAACACGGACTAGTGACTTGGTTACATACAATCATAAATTAGACGGTTACAGGCAGCCACACTAAAGATAAAATTGGGGTTGGTGGGGGTGATTCCATGAGAGTAAGGTGTAATCTTCAGAAAATGTTTTCTTTTTTTGCAATTTTTCTTGTCATTTATATATATCTTAATTATATTATATATAAATAGAAAAATATAATGAATATATATTAGTTATATATATATATA